TGTAGTCATTATAATTAGAGTTTGACAGGTGGGAGGTAATTAAGTAAGAGCACTTAGCCTGCAGGCATATTCGAGTGTTTTTAAGTGACTCATATTTTTCTCTAATGATGATGAAGACAACATATGATATGATAATCCATTAGTGTGCGTGAGTATGATTAATATATCTCCCGATAATCTTATTTATCTCTCGTACTCTTATTTATTGCATAAAACATCAGCCCATTAAATATACTGCAAGGTGTTGGGGATTAATACGATGACCACGAAACACAACGCCTGTGATTTGAGGCTGGCTCGAGTCCCTCGTGTCATCTCTCGACTGTCTGTAATAAATACCTGAACAAATACTTACAAATATGCTGCAAGACAAGATAAATCTTTTTAAAGCTGTGAGAACATGTTATGATATATTCCAAGAGGTAAAAGCCGTCCTCATTTATTAAACCTGTAACCACCAATCATATAGGAGAAGGTGCAAGTAGCGAGTAGAGAATTATTTGGCTGTTTTAAGAGGATGTTTTTAGTATCAGCAATAATAAAGCAAGTTTTTACGCTATGTGTGCTGTTAGAGCCATGTCAAAGACACATTTATATTGCCTTGTGAAGGGTAGAGTATTTCTGATTGTGGTTATTTAAATGTAGACTGGTTGAAGATGGATGTGTTCTTAAAAGCAATCACTTTAATTCTTTTGAAATTAAATAAGCACACAACTGATTTTATCCTCAAAGTCTATAATTGAAGCTATCTGTCTTCACCTTCATGTCTCAGCTGATAGACTTTCAGAGACCCGGCAAACCTTTATGTATCACAGTTCATTTCTCAGTAAAACTTAGTTTGTGCGATTGCTGCTACACACTTTGTTTGTTTGTGCGCCAAAGATAAAAGTGCTTGATCCCCATCCAGCAGCGTGTGATAAGGACCGGGTCTGCTCTGGGTCGAGTTGAGCCATTTTGTTTCAACTAATTCTGATGACTCAAATGCTAATGGATTGAGATACACATTGGGCGATGGAGCTCACAGCTCCCACAGATTTCAGTAATTGAGTATTATATGAAATGCATATTGGATAAGGGGTCTATTTATAACTTGTATTCATTACAGGGAATGTTTCTTCAGCATGAATTGCTTAAGGATCGCCCAACTCCACTCTCACACATTTACACCTGGAAGCTGCCCAGTACAACCACAGTCTGAGCGGGTCGCCGTGCAGCTCCACTGGAGCAGATGAAGGTTAAGAGCCTTGCTCAAGAGCATCTTAGTGGTGTTAACGAGCGAGGGGCAAGCAGTGCTCTATTATTTCTTGTCCAATATTTAATCTGTTGGCTCAGGGATTGAACCACTGACCTCCTGCATTATCACTTAATATAAGCTTTATAAATGTGGGGAAACTATTGTATCTATCGTATATATCTAGTTATTTCTGAGTATGCATACTCGGTCCCTCTGATTTGAGTCTGTCGACTGGTCCACTGTTTTGGTCAACTATTTGATGGATTGTCCTGAAATGCGACACAGACATTCGTGCTCCTCAGAGGATGAATCCTAATGACCACACCTCATTTTAAGATGCACAGATGGATGCAAATGCATTTGCTACTTAAGTTGTTACACAACTAGGGCATTGGGAAAGAAAATGACAACGGCGTCGGTCTGAAACTAGCAATGACAGTTGCGCTGCACCGTGTGACTCTTTGCGCCAGGTGTTAATTTGGGCCTTTAGTCTTGTTTCTGTTATATTTGAATTATCAAAACAGCTAGATTTGTTACTAAGCATTTTTGCCTCTGTTTAAATAGAGATTTTCGGACAGAGCTATTGACCTAATTGTTATTCAGTAGGTTAGGTTTGATTAATTATAAACCCTGTACATTTTGGCAGCCTCAGTAAGCAGATAAAAAAGCCTAAAGAAGGTAAAAGTCTTCCCGTTTCAACAAAAAACGGTCTATATAGTTGATTTGTCTGGAGTGACCACTAACAGCAGACTGTGAAGCGGGACTAATGGCTGTCATAAAACAACAGTCTATGTCTGTGTCCTCTCTGTCCGTCCTCACTGTCACCCTCCGAGTGAAGGAGATAAAATGCTCTCGCAGATATCCATGAATGTTAATTGAATAGGTCTGGCATGGCCTGATGTGAGGGACAAACAGGGTGAAATTCACACAAACCTCAGATGTAAGTGGATGCTTTTAACACGTCGCAGCATCTACAGTGCTGTTTAGTAGAGACGAGCGACAGTGAGGGCTCTGATTGATGTTTTTGTCGAGCAACACTCATTTTCAAATGTGTGATGGTTTAAAGTGATTTTTGAGTCCAAACAGCGTTTGTATAATAGTTCAGTTTCCATCTCACTATTTTATTACAAGATGTTGGTTGTTTGTAACATCAGTCCACATAATAGCAGCGCGAGCTATTTTAGAGACACATATTTTAAGATGTATAAGCTGCTACTGGCCCCTGAATAATATAAGCTCATCCTTGCCGCTGTCAGCCTCAATTTCAATAATTTATATGTGGCAATAAATAGAGGCAGAATCTCTGGCACCAACTTGGAGAATTGGCACTTACGAAATAGGAAATTCCTCTCTTTTTTGCCCGTATCAACATGACTTTAATAAAATCAGCAGCAGCTCTTGTTATGCTTGTCATCTTTCTCTGCTTTCCGAATGGAGGTCTCGCCCGATCACTCACCACTCCGTCGGCAGGCTGCTCTCAGCCGCACTTGTCACACTTTGATTTCTGGAAGCGATAAGAGCTCTGGATGAACATTTGTTTGGCCCGTGGAAACACCACCGGAGAATGGCTTGTAGTTGTTCATTTTGTTTGTTCCTGCGGTTAAACGGCTTTCCTGGTCAGGCGCTGTTAGCTTGAGTACAGGGCGGCGTCCACTCCAAACAAAACAAAGGTGCGGTAAATTGAGAATTGACAGTTATTCCTCATAAATACTGTCGGTAAATGATCTCACATCATTGTCCACTGACCCTCACTACACTGCAGTATGTTAGGAACACTGCAGAGAGGCAGACTGAGGTGTAGACTGCTATGCTCAATCATGAAATAAATTCTTGTTTCACCTCCTCAATGGAAATGCATTGAATGTTTCAAGGTCGAAGAGTTTCATCAAAAAATGTTTTCCTAAAACTCTATCGCACTTGTTGGCACTTCCTGTATTGCCGTGTATTATGAGATTGATATTGTATTTACGTGTAACACTTTATCATACTGTGGATATCATGTTCCAAGGTATCAGATTACTTTACACTTTTCAGTGTGTTTGTATCCCTTTTTAAATCATTACATTCAATGTCCCTGAGATTATATTATTTAAGAATTATACTTCTGCGTCACTTTGGTTTGGAGCATTATGAGTTTCACATAGAACATACAATTAATGTGTTTATTTTTGTGGTATGAAGGTGCAATTTGTCTTTGTAATTGGCTCTTGCATGTTATATTATATTATAGGGTGATGTGTGCCTATCAGAAGCTATTAGATTGTTTTTTTGGAAGCCATGTGCTTCCAACTTTCTTCGTTGTTTCTCTGTTTTTGACATGGATTTACAGTGCATGTAAGTTTGTGGACGGAGAGGCCTTTAGCAAAGAAATGATTTGATCTGGATGCATTAAATAATACACAGTTTTGGTCTTACTGTAATCATTCATGTCTTAGTTTATTTTTAACGTATCCAACAGTCTCTGAGCTTTCTGCTGTTGTTACTATTGCCTTGTTTTCGCTGCTTTGACTGTGCAAGCACATTGTGAACTCTGTTTTTAAAGGTTCTATATAAATAAAGTTATTATGATGATTATTATTATTATCATTCAACTAGCAAGAACTAAATTATATCCATGGGGTGTATTTGAACTTGAAATGTAAATGATTTGAATGAAGTTTTGGGGTTTAACTCCATATCTTTGTTTTTGTACTTTACATCTCACTACTTGAATGGACTGCATAATAAATTGAAGTTGGAGACTCATTCCTTTGGAAGACCCAAGCTTCTTTATATCTTGAATAATGTTTTTGCATATTTTAATTGATGCATCTGCGTGTGACCACAGCTTTGTGTGAATTGATTGTCCTTTTGTGACATTGTTTATTTGTAATTTGTTCTCAGGTCTATCTTATAATATAATTATAATAACAATCTCTCAATTACAACATGATTAATGTAAAAAAGGAGGGAAACATCCATTATTTCACCAGTATTTGTATCCATGGAACAGGAGACACATCAAGTCCAGCCAAACCAGTTTCAGTTTATTTGTCTGGCTGTGTTTGCTCTCATGGCAGATGCATGTAAGAATTAATGGCTCAAGCGTGGACCTTTTAGAAGATAAACTCTCTCGATACCATCAGCAGATACAGGAAATCTGTTATTCCAGTGTTCCCAAATCATATTTCATTACCTTTTTTGGGACATTTTTTTTCAAAGTGACTAACATTTATTTCCCATGCATACACACTTACTATCAGGATGGATTTGGGATTCATTGTTCAACCACTTTTTGGTCATTTTTACTTATTTAGAGAATTTTCATAAGACTGAGGGTGAAGTGGTTCTGCTTGGTGTTTAATTTAGATGTCTTATAACAGCTGTATTAACATGTAGCTCACCAAACCTTAACCATCCATGAAGGTGCTTAAGTTAGAGAAACTAGAACAGGTCTCATTTTGGAAGTAGGCAGTAAATAATTCCTTCTTTTGATTGTTGTCTGGTGCCTTAATTCAATATTATGAACTTCAGAACTTGTGTGTTATCATGTTTTTTCTTCATGAATTATTTTGTCTCCAAAATAAGTATCAACCGACTAGAATCCTGTGTGTGATTTTTCTTTTTCAAATGGTTCCAAAAATGTGAAAATTGTCTGAATCATTCAACCCTTCACTGGCCAACCGTCAATATCAGCATGTGCATTTTGACACACAAGTGGAAAATAGTGATGGTTGGATGCTCTGGCCTCTCTTAATTAATGACTGTTTTCATGCTGTTTCTCCAGGGACTGTGTGTGCAGCCTAAATGTCGAAGTGGAACTTGTTTAGGAATCAGACAACACCCATGGTCGCTGCTAACCCAACGGGGGCCAGTGCCTTGACTGTGACTCCAGCCCACGTCGCATTGGTCTCTGCTGACAACTCCACCGAACCGGTCAACAAGAACGATGCCTTCGACGAGATCAAAAACAAGTTCCTGAATGAAATCGTCAAGATCCCACGTGAGTGCCAGACAAAACCCAAACCTGGTCCGATCAATTTATTGATACGTATTGATGTGACTCTAAGCAATGTTTTGGAATTAGATTTTCTCTTTAGCTGCAGGCATTGGCAGCCTCATAATGTCTTTATTCAGTATTGATCACTGGCTGCCCTTCCTAATGGCAGAGAAATCTAATTTTCGCCCAATCTAATTGCTAATATAGCACCTCATACTAAATATATTTGGCCCAGGACATGACATGGAGTAGGCTAAATGATTGGTTGGTCAAATGTCAAAGTATTTGCTTCTCTCTTCTCTTTCTGGGTGTGGATGTGCCGTCTATCCATCGGTCTGTATATTCTCCTCAGTGCCGTCCTGGGCCATCATTGCCATTGCCGTGGTCGCTGCTTTACTCATTCTAACATGCTGCTTCTGCATCATCAAGAAATGCTGTTGCAAGAAGAAGAAGAACAAGAAGGGCAAGAAGGGGAAGGGTGACATGGGAATGAAGAACCTGAAAGGGGGAGAGGTATGTTCCTCCGCGGGAGGTCGCATCACGGCCGAGGGGATTTACACCCACACTGTACACAAAGCTAGGCAAACCACAGTCACCCTGTTCGTGAGCCTATTATCTAACAGCCGTGTGACTTAAAGTGTAGCTTTGTACTGGAATAGAGAGAATAACCTGCATATAGTGATACGTTTGACTCAGCTAATTATGTAACAAACAGTAGTCCTCGTGTTACACATTTTATTCTAGTGACAAGTTTCCTGTTTGAAATGTCTTCGATTACATATTGTTCATATACACGCTGTTTGTCTTTGATGGCCTTCTAACCCAGTCAGTGTATTCTCCACAGGTGTTAATTACATTCTTTATCACCCATTATAATTTTTCATTTTTCTCTTTCTTTCTTTCTTTTTTGTTGTTGTTGTTGTTTAATGTGTTTGTCGTTAATGTTATTGTTGCTCTTTCTCTCACTTTTGCTTCGGGATTTGAGTGGAAAATGACAGGACTCTTATCTTTTCAGCCCCACCATTGTTTTCCCAGTCATTAAAGAGCAATTATGAAAATTTGTAGTACAATGCCGTTGTTTTTGGGCCTATAATTATACTTTTTTCTTCCCACACACATGATTGATTATTTGACAAAGTACAATAAGAAAACATCTAAAAGTGGAGCTATTTTAAAACCCAATGGCCCTGCTGCACGAGATATAATTGTGCTAATGAGGAGGCTTCTTTATCTGTCATTTTCCTCGCTCCCTACAGTGTAGCTGACTACATTTGCTGTGATTACACTTCTTTGGTGTCTGCTGTGAGTTCAATCTCTTCCTTTGTCTCTGCTCTCCTCCTTCCTGCTTTGTGTCTTATGTGTGCTTCGTGTATCTTGACTGTGGTGGACTTCTCGGCCTACGGTAGGTCTGATAGCACGCGGCGCCCCTATCTGGCCGCTCTGAGTAAGCGCAGACCAGGGCGGGGGGGGGGGGGGGGGGGGGGGGGGGGGGGGGGGGGGGGGGGGG